ATTAACTGTTACTTTGACAGCATCATTTACAACTAAATTTAATGAATGAGAGAGATGCACGAGGTACAGAAAAAGCTCTAGAATTTATTTTCCTTCAATTTACGATTTATGTATCCGTTTGTCATAAAAATTTGTCTTTCCGCTTTTTTTCCAAGACTACAAATATTTGAGTACAAAGTAACTGGTTTTGACTTATTTCTACTTAAGAAGTAGTTAAATAATTAAGCGATTAGGGAATTGGGAACCTAAACAAAACCCTGATGAAAGAACCGAAATTTTACTTACAAGGAGAGCCTACGGCTTTGGGGTAACGGATTTTGATGATCTTTGGTGTAGAGGTAGTACACCATGTGAGTGTACTACCTGTAAAATACTAAAGTGCAATACTCAAATATAATCGAGAAAAACGAACTTAAAGTTTTTGAGCACTTTATATATAAATTATACGTGTTTCCATTCAAGTGTCCTGTAGCTGAGTGGTAACGATCCTGGCTCGTATGCTTGAGTTCCAGGGTTCGATTCTCGTGTACACTTTTTTTTTTTTAATTCATAAATACTTATAATGTATTTATTTATTTACCCATTCATTTATTTCTTATTATTTATTTATTTTAATTTAATTTCTACTATTCCAAGTCTAATATTTTTATACTTTTGTTGACAATAACGGCGCATTCTTGACACCTATGTGTCAACTTTCCCATCTAATTGTTATCACTAACGGTGACCGATCTAATTCTCACTAGGAGCGTTTTTTCTATCGGAGTTCTTTTTCACTCACTCTTTAACAGTTCGTTTCTAAATTTCGACACGAATAGACGTATTTGTGTAGTAAAACTTATTTTGAAAAATTATTTTATAATCGAAAAATGTCGTCAAGAGAAGCAAGTTCTTCACGTTGTGAGGAAAAAGTGTTGATGATACCTTTTAAAAAAGCAGCATTTATTTGTTGTTCTTGGTGTAGACAGAATTTTTGTTTTGAATGTTTTTATCATAAGTATCATTCACGATCATGTACATCTGACAATGATATGTAATTATATAATATTGCTTCAATAAATTATATTCGTTTTTCTTGGTTATATTTGAGTTTTGCACTTTAGTATTTTACTTCACTATGCTGCTTTGATACATCACTGTATAAAGAGTTATCATCAACAGTTTTTTCGTCACAACGTGAAGAACTTGCTTCTCTTGACGACATTTTTTGATTATAAAATAATTTTTCAAAATAAGTTTTACTACACAAATACGTCTATTCGTGTCGAAATTTAGAAACGAACTGTTAAAGAGTGAGTGAAAAAGAACTCCGATAGAAAAAACGCTCCTAGTGAGAATTAGATCGGTCACCGTTAGTGATAACAATTAGATGGGAAAGTTGACACATAGGTGTCAAGAATGCGCCGTTATTGTCAACAAAAGTAAAAAAATATTAGACTTGGAATAGTAGAAATTAAATTAAAATAAATAAATAATAAGAAATAAATGAATGGGTAAATAAATAAATACATTATAAGTATTTATGAATTAAAAAAAAAAAGTGTACACGAGAATCAAACCCTGGAACTCAAGCATACGAGCCAGGATCGTTACCACTCAGCCACAGGACACTTGAATGGAAACACGTATAATTTATATATAAAGTGCTCAAAAACTTTAAGTTCGTTTTTCTCGATTATATTTGAGTATTGCACTTTAGTATTTTACAGGTAGTACACTCACATGGTGTACTACCTCTACACCAAAGATCATTAAAATCCGTTACCCCAAAGCCGTAGGCTCTCCTTGTTGAACAAAAGCTTAACCGAACCAATCTATAGCCGAGTACAGTGGAGACTGATTTCTTTGTATTATTAATGTAATAAAGACAGAAATTTTTCCAATTCAATGAGAGTGACCGAAAAGTTATAAATTTTGGAAATTTCTGAGGACACTTGGTCCTAAAACAAATTTAGTTAGAAAACAAATGACTGTTAAGTTTAACATATTTAGATTTTTACAGCTATGGTGAGAAACATTTAAAATCTACAACAGCCCTGTTGCGTCCTTTGAGGTATCCTAGTGATGTGACAAAAGAGGTTTTTGGCATTGACCGGTATTGGCACCCTGGGGATTTGGCAGTATGCATGTATGCATGCTCTGCAATTGTCTTCGATTCCATCCATTAGCCACTTGTAGTGATCTATTTGACTAAGTGCATTGTTTTAAGATTTAAAAAGTAAAGAATATTTTATATTTTTATGTACGTTTCTTTACAAAGCTATATTTAATTATAATTTCCTTTAAAAGTATATTCATACAGTTGAATATTTTGTACCAGGTATGTACCAGTACATCCACCACACATTTTATTTCACCAAATAAGTTTTTATTATTTTATTTTTAATTGTAGCCCTTATAACGTGGCTAGCGATTCGGAATGTAATTGTGATATTAAAAATGCATTTAGAGAAGTCTACAGTTTTTACTGGCTTACCAAATAAATGATACGAATGGACCCTAGACCATCACTGATGCGCAATTGAGTGATTGCCCATGGATGTCGACTTTTTACAGAAACATAGCTTCGCTATCATCAAATGTCACGGCACATCACTGGCTCTGACAGAAATATTTTAATGTCATTTGTTTCCATACAATCAAATTCAGTTTTTAAGAAACTACTATGGGGGTCTTAATTTTATTCTTGTACTTATTATTGATACTACATTGCATAAATAAAAGTATTAAGTATTTAATAGATCTTAAAAAAATGTATTATTTTCAGGGCTTAAAGTGACTCACATTTTTCACTTTTTTAGCTTTTTTTCATAGCTCCTCTCCTTTTTTAGCTTTTTCTGAGGCGAACTTGCTTTTTTTTTAGCTTTTTTCACTTTCCATGTGGAATTTATTTATTTATTTTTGTAAATGCGTTCAGGAGCAAAATAGTGACCAGCACACACCCATACCTCAATCCTCCAACATTCAATCTGCTAGAAACATATAAATAAATGCAATGAAGCCTTTGGTCCCAAGCAGTTAAGACTGACGATTGCCCCTCAGATGTCTCAATGTCAAAGTATTAATGCTGAAAGTGTTGCTAGTGTAAGCAATGTTGTAGACTCAGATGCCAGTTCAGAACACCAATCATTGCAACAACCAGTGCTTCAACTTTGTACTGCAAAAGATGGTGCTTACACTGCAGAGCTATGTAAGCACCATCTTTTGGAATATGGACTATGAAAATGACAGTCAGCAATTATTCATTTGCATCATGTCATGATATAAAGGAGACAACCAATGCCAAGTGTGCAGACAATCTTTCAAAAGAATTCTCATTGTCACATCAAAAAATGAGATACTTAATCACTGAAGCTTTGGCCCCATATTTCTTTGATCAAATGGTAGATGATGCAGAACGGTCATATTCATAGCATTTCTTATGATGAGACATGCAATGTAGAAGACAGAAAATAACTGAAAATACTGATTAGATACTGGTCAGAGGAACAACAGGAAGTTATCTGCAGGCATCTCCAGACCTCATTTATCAGGCATGCAGATGATGAAACAATTAAATCAAAAATAATACTGGCAGTTGAAGATGCATATGTACCTTTTGATAAATTACTGATGATGCAATGGACCAAACGTAAACAAAAAAGTATTGTCTCATAAATGAGAAAATTCTGACAACTCATAAAAAAGGCCTCATCAACATAGGGACTTGCAGCATTCATACAATCCACAGTGCCTTTTTGAAAGGCCTGAAAGAGTTGGGTGGAGATGGTAGTGATTTCATCATAGCAACACAGCATTTTTGATGGGTGGCCCTCTAGATGAGATGAATACACAGAAATTCAAGAGAAACTTAATTTGCCATGCAACAAATTTATGAAGTATTCATAAATTTGTATGCATGTAAATTATAAATTTGTATGTTCAAAAGTATGAAGTATTCATCAACTAGATGACTGATGTTTGGTCCTGCAGCAAAACGACTGATTGAACAATGGGAAGGACTCATATTATACTTCCTAAAGCACATTCCTCAAGAATTCCAGCTTAATGAATAGTGTTTCATATAAGATAATCTCAAAGTCATTGAAGTGTTCTACCATCAAAGCTGAACTCTATTTGGGAATATCTAGTGCTGAACTATTCATAAAATTTACTGGGCATTTTCAATGTGATGATCCTTTGATACATAAACTTTATAGTGAATTGCTCACTCTGATGTGAAGAAAATTCAGTGTGATGAAGGAGGAGAAAACAAGAGAAGTGCAGAAACTGCAGCATGACTTAAACAAAATCTTTAATTACAAAAAATTTAACAAGAAATCAAAAAATGTACCTTGAAATAAATGGCATTTGAAATTTGGCATGTTATATGGAGACACATTCTGGTAGTTATGTTACTCTTCCATTTCCTTTGCTGTATAACGGTAGGAACTCTGTACAGGGCACATTAAAACTTAATGTGGTCTTACTGGTCACTTTTCTGGAGTATAAACTCAGGCTATTTTCATATTTAATTTTTTCAGTCCAATTAAAAATCATTGATATCATATTCAATGTTATTGATACAAAATGTGTGTTAGTGTTTTTTTAATAATGCCTCTTTTAGTTCACTTTAACACTGTTAGCTTTTTTCAGTGTGAACACTCTTTTTTCACTGCCATGCTGCTTTAAGCCCTGTATTTTACTTATTTGTTAAATTTCTTTATAATCAGGGAATAATAATTATGTTAGTTAAGTAGTAGTCTTTCTCTTATATGACTTTAATGCAGACTTCCCAAAAAGATATTATATGCTTCTTCATTGTTAACTTTAATACAGTATTCAAATGTTTGTTCTGAAAGAAAAAAAAATAGCATTGATTATATTTTTATATAATACATAAATATATGGGATATATAAATAAAATATATTTATTCAGATCAAAAAAGTGTTTTTGAATATGATAATTTTATTAAAATATAATTACGATTTGTATTACAAGGTAAACTTTATTTTTATAGGAGATATTCATGGACAGTATACAGATTTACTTCGACTTTTCGAATATGGTGGTTTCCCTCCTGAAGCTAATTACTTGTTCCTAGGAGATTATGTTGACAGAGGCAAACAATCCTTAGAGACAATTTGTCTTTTGTTAGCTTACAAGATAAAGTATCCTGAAAACTTTTTTCTGCTACGTGGTAATCATGAATGTGCTAGCATCAATAGAATCTATGGTTTTTATGATGAATGTATGTGTGTGTGTTTTACTTTTTTAAAAAAAGCTTTTTCATTGATTACTATGGTAATTAATATAATTTTTCAAATTTTTAAACAGGTAAACGACGCTACAACATCAAGCTTTGGAAAACATTTACTGATTGTTTTAACTGTTTGCCTATTGCAGCTATCATAGATGAAAAAATATTTTGTTGTCATGGAGGTAAATAGTTTTATATTTTTATTATCTTATGTATAATATCTGATTTTATATATAATAATTTAGTCTATAAAAATTAATTTAACTAGTAGTTTGTTAAATAAATAATTAATTTTGTTGTTAAACTGGAAATGTTGGTCAGTAAATATTTATTTAATTGGGCTACAATTTAAAATTGCAGGCTTATAAATTCCCACAGGTTTGTCTCTGTTATCTGTTCTTCCTTAATCTTGAGAACAGAGTTAGATAGATATGAGTCAAAACCAGATATGGAAAACTTAAGAGCCAGAAGCCCCAATTAGCTAATATGAACTTTCAGTTTGAACTGAAAGTTGTTATTTTAATTCAAAAACTTTCTCTAGAATAGAGTTAAATAGATGACTCTCTTGTTAACAGGAAAAGTATGATATACAGAGACAAGAGACTACTAAACTGAAGAGCATTATGCCTCGAGATTTAAAAAAATTGCAGCCAGGCATTATGATGATGTCATAATAAATAATTGCTGATATATAATTATATTTCTAAAACTGAAAATTTTTTCTTGAAAAACACATGAAAAATCTCATCTAGTGTTTTTCTTGAAGTCTAATTATTATTTGGTGTCTAAAATGTTCAGTTAATGTTAGTATATTTTTAATGCAATTCATGCCATAAGGTCAAGCATGCACATATACTGTACACCCAAGTATATATCTAGAAGCACATTCTAGCATGGAATATATGACTGCAAGTATGTTTCTGCTGCAGTTATTTAAACAGTCTATCTGAGAAGTAGCATCAAAAAACAATGACACATGAAGTTCTACTTCAAATTGGGGAAAGTGTCAATGGAAACACATGAAATGTTGATCAAAGCAATATTGTGCCTGTGGTCTTGTTCTCTTAATGACCTCTTTGAGACAAGGAAACAAAAACCATGTTTTGCTGATGTCTCTGTGATTCAGGCCAGTTCTTAAGGTGGTTCCCAAACAAGACTTTCTAACTGTTTAAAGAAGCTTTATGATATGAACATTGTCAAAAGTGTGTTGTCTCATAGAAGGCCAATAGAAGTAATTACTGTGTTTTCTATGCTGTTGTTTTAATTCTAACATTCACCAAACTTTTTTAGATACATCAAATATAATGAATTTATACTAAACTATAGTCAGAATTAGTACTATTTATGATTGTATTGAAATTAATTTAAAAAAATTTATAAGATATTTGAATAAAATAATTTTTTTAATAAAGATAACAGATTTTTTTGTCGTTTTTGAACACTATATTGTTCATACACACAACACAAGGCAATCTTCATTGTAAATTTATTCAAATTTCAATTTACAATGAAGATTGCCTTGTGTTGTGTGTATGAACTATATAGTGTTCAAAAATGACAAAAATAACCAATATAAACCAAAATAACCATGGTTTCAAGAAAGTAAAAGATAACAGATATTTTTGTGAACAAATACTTGAATAATTTCAGTTCATAATACAATTTTATAACAATTTTACCCAATTATTATTTATTATTTAAAAATTTCATTTAATTTTACTGGAAATGCTACTTGAGAATAAAATACAATAGATATTGCTTATTGTGATCAGTCATACACATTGCTATATGTTAGAAGGCCAATTGTGTATTGTAATTTGGTAAACTGTAATTAATCTGCATTATATTGTGCTGAATGAACATTGCATCATTAGAACTAGCACACATGCTTTATGTTTTATGTTCAGCAGTATGTATGACTGGTGTATTTTCTTTCTGCTGACTGTGCAGATTGGTAACACATCTACATGGTAAATGAAGTTGTAGGTTTGAGTTTCACTCTCTGTGTAACATACTGTTCTAATCAAATTATAAAAATAGCTTTATATTCAAATTGTGAAAAAGTTTAGAACTAAATATTGAAAAAAGTTTGATACAGATTCAGCTAATTTATTTTGACATTTTATATCATTTATACTGTTAAATTCTCACTTGTGATATTGAAACCTATATCATCCATACATAATTGTTTCATTAATCAAATATAAAATGCTTTGAATGTAAAATGGTTTACACCAATATAAAGATCACCAGTTAAGAATCTTAGGTTAATGGTATTTATTTACTAATTAAAAGAAACACATTAAATATGTTTTTTCTTAGTAAATTAACACCATCAAAGTAAGTTTCTTAATGAATTATAAAAAGTTTCATTTATGTCCTATGAACTTTCTGCATAAACATAAAAATTTTGAATTTATCTGTCAAACATAATAGATATAATACAAAATTTTTTAAGTTTAGATTGAATTTAGATCATTGACAACATGTAAAAACATTTAAAAACATGTAAAAAGATCACCATCCTTGTACTAAGGTAAAAACCTTAGTGAGCTTTTTGAATGCACATGCCATATAATAGCTATAATTAGCTTTAAAACAATTTCTGCATGCCAAAGTTTTAAACTTTGAACAACTGTTTTTAAAGAAATGAAAGGAATATATTTTAATTAGAATAATCAAAAAAGAGAATTGAAAAGAGAGAGAAGAATAATGATATACTGAACTGAATATTAAAACATAATAAAAACACTGAGATTAAAGTTAATTGAAATTTATACAATAAAAAAATATAATCTTGTGAAGAATTGCATGCCAGACAATTTCTTCTGATGTTCACTTTGGACATGCATACCATAAGTTTCGTCATCCCTGCATGGTTGTGTTTTGTAATTGATGTTTCTCTTGACAAATTGAAAATATTTTTATCAGTAATATTAAATAAAGTCAAAAAAAAATATTTTTAAAAACAGAAAAGTAAGACAGCTCTAACTCCTCAAATTTCTTTTTCTTTTCAATTGTTGTTTGTACACAAACAATAAAGAAAATAATTAGTTAATTTGATTTGCAGTTACAAAAAAAACTATATTATTTGGATGATTATTTATTTATTGCCCAGACTTGTTTATTTTATTTCTTTGTCTACAATAATTGTAATTATTATGTCTTTGATAGGTCTCTCTCCTGATCTTCAGTCCATGGAACAAATTCGCCGTATTATGAGACCAACAGATGTTCCTGATACAGGTAATATTTTTAAAATTATTTATATAGTTCCCTTCATATTCATGTGATTTAAAGTAAATTTCATTTAATTTTATTTAATGTATTTAATATGAAATATTTGAATTAATAAACCTAATGAATTACTACACAATTATTAATGTCTTATAGACAAAATTTAGACTGTTACATAACTTGATAATTGGAAGAATCAAGGCTCTATGCTGGATGTTTATCATTTGATAAATAACTCAAAAAATAAGTTAATTGCATATGAAAGAAAGAATTAATGATAAAAGAATCAAGAATTTTGAATAAAAGTTCTGTTCTAAACTATTCTATTATCTAAATAGTCTAAATATGATTTTCTTAACATTATATTTGAGCTTAAAGTAATATGTAATTACATAAATTTTTGCTATACTACTAAGAATAAAATAATCCCCATAGATTAAATTCATAAGTTCTTATGAGTAAGTTTACGTTAGTATTTTCTGTATAATTTTAAGTATTTGCATTTTAGTATAATCAAACATGAAAAATCCAGCAACAAGTTGTGTAACTTTCCCTACTGTTAAAAAATTTTGTTATAAAAACAGTTTTTGTATTTTTAATTATTATTGAATAGAAAAAGGCTTAATTTTGAGGGTAGTGATGAGTTTTATAAAAAAAATAAATTGTAAATGCTAATAATGATAACATCTTAAATCTTATCCCTCTCGAGATATTACATATGGCATTCCTCTATCTCCTATCCCTCAACCTTTAACCATCAAAATTTAATTGCATCAATGCCTATTATACACAGTCCTAAGATATTAAACAAATTAGATATTAGTAGAAGTATATGGAATTTTTTCTTTCTTTTATTTTTTGGGTTCAGGAAGTCCCAAAACATGGAGGTTTGCAAAAAACTTGATCAAATTTGACATGATTCCTATACTTTCTCTTGTTATGTATGCATACATAAAAGTCAGGAAAGTAAAAAAACTACTGTTATATTTTTATTGAATTACAAGTTAAAATTTAGCTTATATTTTCAATTAAGTGAAGTATTTTTTGTTTCCTAATACACTGTATATTGCATTTTTCATGCATACGATCTTTAACAGTTATAATAAATTTTTAAAAACAAAATTATAAAGTTAAATAAACTGTCAAATATTTCAAGATTTTCATAAATTGTATAGTTCCAAGTATTATTTACATATTGAATAATAATGACCATACAAACAATTTTAGGTCAATATACATCTTTATCCTTATTTAAGTTCCAGCCATAGACAGATGGTAAACAACTTGAAGATAAAATACAACTCTTTGTTAAAAATGACCAACAATATGTCATTAAAAAAAAAAAAAAAAACAGTTTATACACTTGATACCAACCTTTTCCTGTATGATCTGACACCAATACACACAGTACTAAAAGTTTTCACAATATCAATCTGGTCACTGTTGTATTTAAACACCACTCTGAAAAACCCTGGTAGATGTTTAGGAATTAAAAAATACCACGTATTTACATAATTACATATATCATTTAGTCTCAAGAATTATTTACATATTTAAATTGACCAATGCTTGTATGGTCATTATTATTTAAATATTTCAAGGTTTTTTCCAATATGTTCTGAAACTATAAAATAAGTTATTATCTTAAATAGCACCAAAGAATTCAATATTAGTTGACTTCTTTCTTATAAAGAGTTCTCCTAGGTCCTTCTGTATTATACTCTGGCTTATTGATTTTAATGATCTCCTAGCTAATTAATCTGAATTTTTGAAAAAATAATGCAGAAATATATGGGATTTCACTTTATGTTTATACAAATGTAGTCAGACTCAAGTAGATTGGCATAGTGAATTTCACAAAATGATGCTCCTTGGTTAAAGAATGGTGTCACTTGGATCTTGATAGAAAGTGGATTCCTTAAATCTGTAAACATATTTATTTAGAATAATGAGGAAATACATTAATTTTCAGATCATGTGTGAGATCAGTTTATATAATAATTGATCTAACAAATGTTATGATAATGCTCAGAGATCTTAAGGTGAGTAGTCTGAGTCTTTCTGTCCAACAGCAAAATGATGATTAAAGTGGATAGTGATTAAGGACCCAGTTTAGTGGTTGGGTGGATGATGCATTGTCAGTGGTTTGTCAAAGTCTCTACATCTTTGATCCATGCTACATCTTGCACTGTTGCACTACAATTGTCTTTCTTTTTCTCCTTTTCTGGGAAACTTTTGCCCAATGGTCACATCCCGAAATATCTTGAAGTTGGGGAGTAGTTTTTTTTCTCCTCCATTTGACAATTCAGTTCTTGATTGGTATGTGTCATCAAAATGTTGAGTTGTCTTTCATGGAAGTATTGTTTGTTTGTTCTTGATAGGGTTTGTTTTAAAGCTTTGGTTCAAAAACAAATTATTATAACAGGCAAATATTTCGGATCTCCATAAAAGTGAGAAAAAATTAGAAATACGTTATGTTTCTATAGTATAGAAATGGTGCAGAAAATAGAATTAGAATATTTTTAAACTTCTGTTGTTGTTTTATTGTTCATATTATTTTAATTCATTTGTTTGTTCTTTATTGTAAAAGAAAAAAAAAACATTCTTAGAAGAGACAAGAGGGTGAAAAACAGTACTTTCTTAAACTTTTTCAAGTAGAACATTTTCAAATAATGTTTCAAGAAAAATAGAACATTAAACATGAAACACAATGGAGTTGTTTAAACTCATTAGTTAAAAAAATTTTGGAATGAGTTTAATTATGTATAATAATAAAACTAAGTATGCATTTTGTGTTTTTCATGTATCTTTTGTTACATTTTTATAATTAATAACCACCATACTTGTTGTAAACAGAAATGGGAAATCACTAGCCAATAGAAAAGACAGTTATGGAGTTATGGTATCAATAGATTAACATGGCAGACAACAAAACATCAATCTTCTACAAGGAAATATAAATGTACTGCTGTATTAGAAAGCTTTTTGATATCTCTTGATATTTAACTTTCAAAAAAAAAAGCATAACAAGACATTAGGAATTGAGACATTAGGATATTGTATGACCAATCAATACAGTAAATCCTCAACTGAAAACTGTCTATATTAGTGATAAGTAACCTTTTCTGGATGTAATCACTAGGAAACTTGTAGGCCTCTAGCAGGCTAATGCTCCATTACTACCAGTACAGTAGATACTAAAATAATACATTCTAATTACATGATAATATATGATTTATTCTTGTAATACATGGTTTATCCTCATTTTTTTTTACTGGCCAAGTTTATTTTGAATGCTCATCATCACAAATATCAGCTAAATTAGAGTTGTGTAATTTTTCATGAAATGTTTATTCTAAGAATTATTCAAAATTGTTGCAAAAATAAACAATTACTTTTCTTTTCAGGATTATTATGTGATTTACTATGGTCAGATCCAGATAAAGATGTTCAGGGATGGGGTGAGAATGATCGTGGTGTATCTTTTACATTTGGAGCTGACGTAGTCAGTAAATTTTTAAATCGTCATGATCTTGATTTGATTTGTAGAGCTCATCAGGTTAGTGAAATGTTTTAATGTTTATACTAAGATTAATAACTATATTGATGAATTATCATGTATTATAATAAAGTATTTGAAAGAGCATATTAAGTATAAAAACTATTTACTAATATTCACAGATTGTGTGAGAACAGGATTTTTAAGATTGAAATTTTTTAAAACAGATCATTTTTTCATAATGTAGTTTATTAATTTTTACAATGTACATATATAGAATAACACAATACAGTAAACTAAGGAGAAACTGAACAGGTACAAAATAAATGTAAGTAATTGTTTTCTTTTTTGACAAGACTCTTGTTTATAAAATTGTACTGCCTGCTGGGTAACCAGCTTAGAGGTATGAAGGAGTACATGTCAGGAGTTGCAATTTGACAGAGTATTAGGTGCCCAAATCATGCACGCACAAAAAACCAGACTTGTAGGTACTCAGGGGACCAAGAACTGAGTCAAAATAAAACACAAAGTGGTGACTATCTCTACAAACAGGCAAATTGAAGTCAGGTGGTGAGAGTACCATTCACAGTCGTTCTAGGAAGTGGACTCTGACCCTAGGACTGAACATGTAGTATTTTCTTTGTTAAATAAAATTTATAATCTAATTTTGTAAATTTGGGAGTGCTTCAAATATGACATTAAAACAGGGTTTTATGTCGTTACAAGTAGGTTTTTTAACGTTATCTAGTATAGGAAAATCGTGAGACTGATAAAAATTTGACATTATATTAGGGTTGTCATTACATTTGATGATAATATAATTGGGTTAAACTGTATATTGTTTGTGCAAAATAAAAAAATAATTTTGGATGATACAATAGCTACGATTATTTTTTTCAAAAACAGGAAATTTTCATTATGCATTGACAAAAATTCAACCCAGGTCAACACGCAACAGAGAGAAATTTCAAGATTGGATAGAAAATACATCATGGACAACCTCATGGTCATGGCCGGCGAAGTTTGAACGATTGCACTCAAAAGCAGCGATACCAAAGAAGATTGGAGAATGAGACCCACCTTGAGCGTTAAAGTGATTCTGCTTAGTAGTGAGTCTCAGAGACAGTCTTGTCCCAAATACGGTTTTGCCGTTGTACTTGTTTATTTTTAAATTCTTCTCAAATGGAAGTGGTTAAACCAACAAATATTCTGTTTGCACAGAGTCTTGGATTTTTTTCAATATAATACCATAAATATAATGAATATCCATTGAGATTTAAATTTTGAGTTGATAAAGCAAAGTTTTTTGGTTTAATAAGTAACATGACAAATAAAATTGAAATATTCTTGAAACATATACAGAGCATAAATTGAAAGCATAAATAAAATAAATAAATAATTTATTTAAATATAAAAAAGTTCAACAATTTTATTTTTACTGAAAAATTAGTAAAATAAAATTTGTCATCATTATGCAAAAGATGGAGCATGACTAGAACTAAATACAAATATTCTTGAATACTAGAAATGTAATAAATTTAGAGTGGCGATAGAGTATTTCTGAAATACAAATTTAAATACAAATTTAAATAAAACAAAAGTTTTTGAATTATTATATAAATTATAATCATATTAGTCACAAAATAGCTTATAATACAGATTTAAATAATTTTAAGAATTTTCAATGAATACTTAAGAATTTTACAATAAACTGGAAAAATTTTTAAATAACATTTTTGGTAAGATTTAATTTTTAAATATGTTAAGTATTTAACTAGAAGTACAAGTATTCTGGAATGTTAGTAATGTTTCATGTTTTACCTGATGAATTTTATTTCATTGGATATACTTACAATTTGTTATATTACTATTTTATTTATTAAAGTAATACCAAAATACAGTTTTTGTTTTATTTTCTGAAATCTTGATATATATTATGTTCATCCTCCTGTATAAATTTTTAGTTATTTTTTAATTAAAGAAATTTAAATTAATGCAATATTTTCTATCACATTATACAACTAGGCTAAAAACAAACAATTCAAATTCAAATAGATTCAAATAAAAACTGAAGTTAGAAAACATAATATATGAAAATGTTTAAAATTTTACACATGATTGTTTTTCATATTGTGTGTATAGATGCTAATGGATTTCACTCTCTCCTTGTGTTTCAAGAGTATTTCAAAATACACAATGCAAGCAAACATGCATATCCTATCACTCCCTTTATTATCAAATGTATTTGGACACCTGCTTGTTCAAAATCTGTTAAATTTAAGTATATCAGAGAATGGGTATAGGTATATCTTTGGGAAAACAGAATGGGTAAAGGTATATCTTTTGCTGCTATCACTGTCTCCAAACTTTTCAGATTATTTTTCAAGTAATGTTGGTATGATTCAGATGGAAATTCTGAAATTAGTGAAATCAGTCTCTGAAATTGGTTAAATTGATTTGGGAAAATAGATTTTTACAATAAATTTATGAATACACTATATTTATTCTGTAATGGAATTAAGATGGAAAAAATATTTTACAGATTTGTCTCAAATTTGTTAATTATAATTGCTGTTTGAATTCAAATAGCAATTATTTAGCAGGAATTAGTTTGGATATTTTTTATTAAGCCAGCTACTTAAATATTTTATGATATTTATTATATTAAATTTATTACTTCTTAAATATATATTGTTTAGGTTGTGGAAGATGGATATGAATTTTTTGCCAAAAGACAATTGGTTACACTTTTTTCTGCTCCTAATTATTGTGGAGAATTTGATAATGCAGGAGGAATGATGTCAGTTGATGAAACATTAATGTGTTCCTTCCAGGTAAATATTAATATTCAATTAATTATTAACATCTAATAATAACAACACTAGAGAACAATACAAAATGCTAGATTTTACAACACAAGCATTAAAACAATCCAAATATACAGAGGGCAAAGCATTTTCCAGGGAAACGCATAAAGTTTACTTTGGTAAACTTAAACCTGACTTTAAATATATTATCTAATAGGTTAAACAACACTAAATATAGATACAACATAACATATTTTGTGTTATTTTGTATTTTATCTCATGTACCTGAATGACATAAAACTCTATGTATCCACGCAAGCATAGCCAAACCACTTTTAGGAAGTTACACACACTCCACTGACATTCAAATGGAATTTGACCAAGACAAATGCAGAATACTTCACAGAGAAAAAGGATTCCTAAAGAAAGATGATTTTGTACTCAGAGTGACAACACCGTTAAATCCATGGATTAGGGCAAAGTCTATAAATATTTAGGATTCCAATATGCCAAACTCACAGAAGATGTACAAATATAAAGCAAAGAATAACAAAGCAATACAACAGCATATTAAACTCAGTACTAACAACACAGCTTAATGCAAAACACACATTTAAAGCTATCAACACATATATCATCTTAGTATAGATGTACTAATTTGGAGTACATTGGATACACAGAACTAGAACAACTCTAAAGGAAAACACAAACAACATTAACAAAACACAACAAACACCAGCCCAAGTCATCCATAAAAAGACAGAAGACAAGTCTTCACAAATATAGGTAGGCCTCCTACAATGCAGTAGATACGTTCCTTGAAAATACCGCATTGTGGGAAATCGCGTTATAGGAGACACCAACCATTTTGAATTTTTCAAACCAGCCATTGCTAGCCACGAATTTATCACTGGTTTCATCAGCCGACGACTGTCCCATTTGTTTTAAATAATCAAATATTTTTAAGGCTTTGTGTTTAACTGCACTTTTATTTAAAGGCAACCATTTCTTGTTCATATCTTCTATCCATAATATTAGTGCTTGTTCCATTCCTTTTTTTTTTTTTCATTATAGGTGCTCTCGGACGAGCAACATTTTTCGCAAGAATAGATGATCCGGATGCGACTGAATTCCTAATCTTTTCTTCCTATTGCTTAATCGACCGAATAGTTGACTCATTTAAATTAAAATGCCTACCAATATCAGCTATCCGCTCTTGATTTTTAATTCGATCCAAAATTTCTATCTTTGTTTGAAGAGATATATTAATAAATTTCCTTTCTAACGACGGTCCTTTCTTTTCATTCGACATTGTTATGGCTAAAATTTTTTCAAGCAGTTTTGTGGACAGTAAAAATCGCAAAAAATAACTTCCCTTCACTATGTTGTTAAAAATATACACCCAATAGAAGTTTATACTGTATTTTGGATCATTTTTGCAGTCCCCACCTATTGAAAGAGTATAAATTATAGAAAATTCAGTGATATATTTGAGTGTTTATGGTAACTGATGCACATCTGTCTAGAAACTGGTCTTCCCCTGAAACTTTCATGGGAATAACATGTCAACGTGGACAAACAGCTGTTTTCGAGGACATTTAGCTCTGTACACCGAACTGTGGTGCATATTAAGTGATCCGTTGAGATTTTTCTGTTATGTGAAAGATAATTTGTTTCTAAATACCATAAACCGCGTTGTAAAAGTACTGCGTTGTAAGAAAATTTCCGCATTTTTCCAACCGCGTTGTAAAGGTACCGCATTGTAGGAGGCCTACTGTATTTTAAATCTGCACTACAAGGAAATACAGACAATACAAAAATTTTTCTATATAAAACAAGAAAAACGTCATAATTACTTACACAAAGCTTTTGCAGACAAAAACAGTAACCATTAAACTTGCACAACCATGGCCTGGATCTTACACAATGCACAGACTTTATCAGACCAGTCTTGGACTCAGAAGGCACTCCAATAAACTTGATGAGGATCATGTTGAACTGCATTAAGCTGCTGTCTGACTCATGGTTGTCTCTTTGGAAGACAGACGAATTCATATTTGTCACACAAGACTAGATCATAAATACAAGAAACTACAGAAAGCACATCTTAAAAGACACAACACTCACAGAAGACACTTGTAGGAAATTTCATGTTATGCATGAGACTATACAGCACATCTTATTGGGTTGCAAGCTTTTACAAACTGACTACTTACATTCATATAACCAAATAGCAAATATAATATGTCAAAAACTTTCATACAAACACTAACTTTTACACATACAGAATCTTACTGTACACACACACACACACCTTGAGACAGTCAGTTATATTTTGTTTGTTGTTTATGATTATGGCTTGTTCTAACAGTAGCTAAAACAATACACATAGCAGATCACAGGTCAACATCATGCTCACTGAAAAAATAATTTCACATACATTTTACAAGGAAGGTTCACAAGTTAGGGTTGATATTGGGTATATTTTTTTATATCAATTGAAAACTTATATTGAGCTTATTACAGAAATAAAAAAAGTTTTTAACCCCAATTATGGTTGAATGTGAGAAAAAAAACTTTTGAAAGCTTTTTCAAAAACTGCAATAACTTAAAAATCTCTACACAGATTTGTTTTCATTTATTGTTATTGGTCACAAATAGCAAAGGTAATCGTTTTTTATAATAAAAAATTAATGTACTACACTGTAAATATACTGTAATTAGATTTCTGTTTTAGCATGAGATTGACCAAGGAATTGAGATGGAATTCATAAATCTAGAAAATGTAACAAGTTTTCTGCTTTGATCACTTTTTTGCAAGAAGAAAAAATGCAATAATCAGTTTTCTAATAATTATTCTGTATGAGCCATAAGTGGAGTTAAAATTTTTGTATTTCTGTAATCAGCTCAATGTAAGCTTTCAATTGATGTAAAAATATCACTTCATTTTGATCATAACTTGTACGTCTTTCTTCTTAGAGACAGTCGTTCCAAACACAACATACAAAATACAAATGCTGAAAAAATTAGCAAATACTCGGAACTCTCTCACAAAATAAAGCATCTGTGGCGAATGAATAAGGTACTGTACTTATTGTACCAGTAGCCCCTTCTAGCACAGAGATCATACTACATACATTACACAAAAGTTTTAAAACATTAGTTTCTTAAAAATTATATTATATATTATATATAAATACTCCACCAATATTTATTATTATTCTCTCTATAGTCTTCACCTTGTTGAGGTGAAAGAGCTTAGTAGTGTTAATAAACTGTAAAGCAATGGTGGCAGGAGCTTTAAGCTTATAGTAACTCACTAGTTCTATAAAATGATGGTATTTGTATCATCAAAGCACATACTAATTCGTTTGCATTCATGGCAGTGTTGCAGGTACTGGAGATCTTTTTCACAAAAGTATTGTCAGTGTCTAGGAACTTTTGAATTATCCTGATATGCTTCATTCCTAATCAAAGACTGATCTACTGCAAGCAGTATCTGACCCAGAAAGGATGACTGCATCACAGCATCTGTTCTTCATGATAGGAATGACTGATTTATAGATATGTGGCACTAGGTATATAAGCACATTCACTTCTGAGAAAATAAAAATAATCAACACATTTTTGGAGTAATACTTACTCAGTTGTTGAGTTAACAACAGGTCCACATGGGTTAGGCAGAAATTTGTGTTGAAAAGTTGGCAAAGTCTCCCTAGGCTACCCATCAGTGGTGAACACAGCACTGGCCCAAGTATGACTACTGTATCACAACCACAATCATTACTACACTCACACACAATGAATAACACATGAATGGTAAAGTGTTCAGTGGCAATTCAGCCACTGACCACGTCTTCAGAAAACCACATCAATGGTAAGTGTACACAAGAAATAAACAAATTCATCATTTATACTCACTACATCACAAAATTTGAATAAGATATGATAGCCTAAAGACAATGACTACAAGATAGATTTGTCAAGAATAACCAAGTCTCACTATTATATGACAAATGCAAACACAAAATTGCTAAATAACACTGAAGGTCAAATACAGTAGAACCTCGATTATCCGGACTAATTGGGGATGAAGGTAGTCCGGATAAGCAAAAATCCGGATAATCGAAACAAATACTTTAATTTGTCTTTTAATGATAATACAACACGTTTTCTTTTCGATGACATATCGGTAATATTAAAAGTAAATACTGTATTTAAACCGTGATCAAATTTTCAAGAAACAAACGTTCGTATTGAATTTGGACTACTACTGACCAACGCTAACAGACTACCTATTGTTTAAAAGGCCCTCTGGTGGCGCAAGAAGACGGATTTTATAAAATAAAAAACAGTTGAAACTGCATTTTTATGAATAAAAATTTGACAAACTATTTATCGTTTTATGACAAGTAAAATTTTTCGTCGCGTTCGCGGCTTTTAAGTAATGCATAAACCTTCGGACCGCGAGGCATAGGCGGTGGCCCATGTCGTCCATGCCTTACGCTGCCCTTGGTCATAGAAATGATATAATTTGAATTTAAATTATTTATAAATACGTATGTCAAGTTATATTTTTATTACTACGTAAAATATATTTAAGAGTTTACGACCACTGTGCTGGGTGAGACATTGTTGAAACAAAAAAAGTTATGCATTCCATCACGTACATAAACAGTATCATAATTCGCAAAGTGCAAATCAGCAAATTTGTAAAATTTTTGTTTATTTTGAACAATCCGGATAATCGAAAATCCAGATAATGGAGGTCCGGATAATGGAGGTTCTACTGTACTCACTAAGCATACTCCAAAAATAATCACTAATGTAAAAGTATACCAAACAATACCCAGCTATGAATATATAAACACTCTATTTATAATTAATAACATTATAGAGACAGAATTAAGTAACACACATTCACATTTATTCTAAGAAACTCTGTAAGAATTAAACTTGTATATTTAATAAGAGACCACAAATATCTAAAATAGGAGGTGCAGTCAAAAAGTTTCAGGACTGGTCCAATAAAAAATGTCTGATGTCAATGTTAATTTATTGAGAGTTGTTGCCTTCATAAGTTCCTCCTGCAGCTATACATAGATTCCAGCACTTCTCCCAGTTTTCAAAACATTCCTGGAACTCTTTTTGTGATGACATTAAGCACGTGCTATGATTCTGTTTGAATATCATCAAATAGCTGTACTGTCAGCACTGTTTTTTCACCTGTGGAAATAGAAAAAGTCACACAGTGCCAAGTCTGATGAATAAGGAGGGTGGGGAAACCATGGCCATTTTATTTTTGGAGAGAAACTGTTAAGTAGAGCTGTGTGAACGGGGTGTTGCAATGCTGCAACATCCATAAAACTTGATTCACAGTTTGGCCTTGTGGAACACATTCTTGATGTACCTGTCAAAAACAATGAACATGCTCTTGATATTGTACCTCACTTTTGCATGATTTCTTTGGTCTGAGTGAGCAATGATTTTTCCATTGAGTCAATTGTTGCTTGGTCTGAGTCATAGCTGTAAATCCATGCTTTGTCTTCTGTAATTACTTTCTTTTCTGTTACAGCCTTGCCAAGTTTGAAACAAAATTTTACACATTGTTCCGTAAAATAATTCATTTTACAAAACAATGCAAATTGCAAACCAACAAGAACACAAATCTAATCTAAGTAGCAAGAAACAAAAACTATATAGGATAATGGCATGAAATTTGTCATAAAAATGGCATGAAGCTAAATAACAATTTCTATTATACATGTTTTTTTTATTATACATTTCTCCTATTTTGCACAAGTTCAGCACATGGCTGATTGTAGCACCATATCACCAGTTGTGGAACTTTTTGACTGCATTTCATATACATTTTGAAACAACTAGAGAAAAGCTTACATTATCTAAATGTACACATATTACCAAAATATATTCAACCAGAATCAAGACATGCATACACTAGTTTATTCTTGTGCAGTCAGTGCAGTTATGTACCATGGCTTTAAAATGCAATAAAAACACTGACAAATAAATAATCTTATCTGGCAAATTAAATTAGAAACACAAATAACATTAAACAACAAACTAGGCATGCTGACACAATATATTAAAAACAATATAACATTGAACTTAATGAAAGAGGTAGGAAAAGATTCAAAAAAATTAATACACAAACAGCACAATATGCATGCACAGGAATATATTAAACCTCTCAAATAAAAACTAGCAGCCAAGTTGCAAAAGCTGTAATGATACAAAGCCTGTTTACTATAAGACAATCAAATTATTCACAAACAATGAGGCACTTATCTGCAAATATCTACATTTCCAACCCACAACATAATCAGAGTGCAATGGCACACCAACAGAAAAGGAACTGATTCTATTAGTGTGCTCCCTGGTTCACCCAATTACAAACACAACTAGATCAAGGAAGAACAAAACAACAAACATCAGACACCAATCATGCCCTGTGTTGAAATAAACATACATGACATCCAAAATGTACAAAGAGCAGACAATTGGAAGACACACCTACATGTAGCAAATGTAGGTTACAGAAAAGCATTTGATAGCAACCCACATTCATGGTTATTGCATACACTATTTATATACAATATACATCCAACACTAACATTTTTAGAAAATGTAATACTGCATTTCTAATGACAATTTCTACTGCTAAATTTTCAAAAACTAAAAGGATTTTTTTTGTATTTTCAAATTTTTATGCCATATAAAACATTTTTCTTCTTTTTAAAATATTGACAACAATTAGTTTTGTTCAGTACTAGTTTCAGTCTGTCTGTCTATAATTTAATTTCAGATTATTTCTAGAGGAAAAAACTTCAAGACTATAATTTATAGATCTAAATTTTAATAATTTCAGAGTTTTAAATGAAATAATAATATTATTATTATTATTATAAAATACAATAATACAAAATACAATAATTCATTAATAATATTATTTTGTATATTTTAAATAAACTTCAAATGTAAAGATAATTTTATTAATTATAGATTTTGAAACCTTCTGAAAAGAAGGCAAAATATCAGTATGGAGGATTAAATTCTGGTCGTCCTGTCACACCTCCACGTGGTCCAGTAAAGAAGAAATAAAACTTCTAGCAGACAAATTCATCTGCATGTCTTGTCCTTGCCATCCTCCCACCAAGTTGTATAACTTCTTGCCTGTTCCAACAAAATTTAGCACATGGTCCATAGAAAAAGCAACAGTTTATCAGAGGTTTTTTTCTGTCATAAACATTCTACCAAATATGTTTTACTATGGATAGAAGTCTATGTGTAGTACTTTATTTGTAAATGTAAGTTGATGTCACAAACATGTTATCCATCTGCATATGATGATAAACTTCAAAAGACTGGTGTAGATTTATATTTGGAATTTTTCTCTTAAATTTTTTATAGTTAATTTATTTAACAAAGATCATTAAAGTTTTTAAATTCTTAATTCTATTAATATTTTGAGTTTAGAGTCTGATAGTGATTTAACATACTGTTAATTGAAATGAATAGTAATTTTTTTAAAAGTAACATTTATTTATATTATTGTTGGCTATTTAATTCAAAATATTTGTTTTTAAAAATCTTACATTGAATGCTAAAATGAAGACATTTAATTAATATCATTTAATTGAAGTTTGAAAAATGTATATTAAAATTATAGAATTTTTTTTAAACTGCTCAATAGTAAATTTTAAGAATTTTCATAATCATCATAAATCAGCCATTGGTTCTTGAATTTGATATATGATGATTTTAAAAAGTAAAATGAATGACAGAAGAAAGCACTTTGAATTATTTTCAAGTTTCAGAGAAGTTTAATCAGGAAACATTTTCATTGGGGACTTGGAAAAACATCCATATGAACAATGTGTGTCTTTCATTTACATTTCTCATTCATTTGTACCATCCATATTGCTGCATTAGATGCTTTGGAACAGTGTTCAAATGTAAGTACTTGTATGAAGCATTAGATAATTTTCTTGGAACAATAAATGTTTGAATTGAAACTTTGGTATTTATTTTATTTCTAAATACATTTACAGTAAAATTTGAGTTATATTTTATAATTAATGTTTATTTATGTATTGTTTAAGAATGTACATTTTAAAGTTTGATTTCTATTATATTTTTACTTTAGTAGTTAAAATATGAAAGCCATGGTAAAAAATAGTCTGCCCCTGTAAATTTTATGAAAATGTTAAACTCAACATTTAGAAAAAGAACTTTGCTAATTGAATTTCAGCATTTTTACAGCATGTTCTAGAGGCCTGGGGAACCCGAAAGTGTCCTAAAAGCAATTCTTCAAATGCATTGTTTCAACACTAGAAGGCTTAAAGTTCAGATTAACCATCCTTTAGATGTTAGTCTGAAGTGCTGATAAATGCTATGGAAAAGCCTCAATCTTATTTCCCTTCCTCATCTATGCTGTACTAGAGTTAAGAAATGCAAGAAACCTTACATTTTTGCAAAAACCTAAGGATCTGAAGGACAATGATATTGAGGCTTTTCTGCAGTGCTGCAGATCAGTAACTTAAGGGTAGCTAGTCTGAACTTTGTTTCAGCACTAGAATGAGTTAATGTGTTTGAAGGGCTGTTTCTACAACGTTTTTTAGATAGATTCCTTAGACCTCTTAGAACATGCTACTATATAAGAACATTGTCACTACCTTGCAGAATATTTGATTTTATTAAATTAGGAATTAGGGAATATGTTCATGATGGATTTGGAATTTATATTTTAGAATAAGTTTATTTTATGAAACAAAATAGATACAATTATTATGACTTAATTCTTCTATGCATAATTTTTACAACAAATACTTTATTAAAAAAATATTGTAGTTATGAGAAAATTTTTGCAATTTTTATTATTACATCACTAATAATAAGCTCCAATAATAACTAAGTAGATTTTAATCATATAAATTAAATAAAATTGAACAATTTTTGAAAATAATTTTAAAAATTATAGTCAGCAGTTATGAAATGTTTTGTGAAAAATTTTAATTACAGAATTTGTATTAATTTTTTTCATAAAACAATACATCTAGAATTTTTAATGCATTAAGTTGTTTATTCAAAAATAGTCATATGAGAACATTTTTAATTTTGAAGTTTTATCATCATTGGATTTGTCTTTGACAAATTAAACCTATTAATGATTGAAAACTTATGATGGTAGAATCAAATTCAAGGTCAAATAATTTTAAATTTATCTTATCTGCTTATTAATTTAATTACACACACACACGGGATGCGTGGAAAGTCCCTTGCACCGTTTTCATTTAAAATGTACTTGAAGATATATTAATTTTGTTAATGTAGTTACATAGTAATGAATGGCACCAAGAAACATTCTACGTATTTCATTTGTTCAGAAAACAAAAGGCTAAAGGGTCTTAGGCTACTCCCAGGCTCCTTAAAAACTCGACAGCCTTGTACATAGGATAAATACAATTGGACACCAAATACAAGAATTCCCAAGTAAATCTTTTAACAAAGCAAAATCGATAATACGGTGCGTTATCCTATAGACAAAAGGGCGATTTCCTGGAGCCCCAAACCGATCTTTTTGTAAAATATTCCTCCGAAGAAAAATCAGCACTACATGCAGTTCCCTAATTCAAATTCGCCTGGGCCCCGTGAAGCTGTAACACACCATTGCAGTAATAACTCTAACAGAAAGATATTCAACGGACAGTTAAGCGGTATGGACAAGATAGGGTAGGACTCCTGTTACAGTAAGCCGAAATTTGTGTGTAAATAGTCCCATCTGAACGGATTTATGCGAACTATATTCACAGGAAGCATCAAGACGAATCCATTTTCAATGACATTTATGAATAATAGGTTGCTTCATTCACGGGAATGTGAAAAATTATTTAAGACCTGACAATACCTTATATGGTCGACTACCGGAAGAGATGTTGAGTAATAAAGGTTCTGTGTTTCAGATGTGTACTTTCTACAAAATACCTATTATTGAGCTTGCTTAATTGTTTTTCTGGGTGGTAAACTATCAAAGCACTAGCCTTAGCTAATCATTTGCATCAATTCTGATCTAATATGTAAATAATGAGGTTGTCGACTACTGGGTATGCTCACTGGTAAATTCGTATGTTCGACTGCGATGGTCAAGCACTGGAGTTCGTAACTTTTTTCGTGATGTGTCTATGACTGAAAATGCACATCAGGTCTCCCTTTCACAGTTTCTACATTTGGGTGGCTTTCGACGGCCATAAACGATCGTCCGACTATGTTGGTTGACTACTGGATCAGAATAACGATTGATTCATGCCGGCTTTCCAATGCTTGTTCCAGGGTATTTGATATTTAAATGTCAAGCCAATCAAAATAAAAAGAACTGAAAATAACAAAACTAAGTTGTATAATTCATAGTTTTAAAAACATTGCAGATGTCACCAGTAAAAGCCAAGTCCAAATACATCAGTATACAGAGAAAGCGCACTCCGATACTCGTTATTAGAAGCCAAAAATTATCAGAGCCGCATCAAGTTCTGAAACAAACTAGTCCGATTCAAATCGATCGCCAGCAATTCTATATACATCATCACAAGGAAACGTGAACGAAAACAATGTTCACCAAGTACTATTGCTTCCAAGTTATGGAGAGGGTTCGTATTAGAAAAGTAAAGGAGCAAAAGTAAGCGAAACAGAAAAAAAGGAGGTAAATGGAAAAACAAGAAAAAAGCTGAAAGATCTACCAGGAAATGTAGTGGCAGAGGGAGAAAACGTCAGAAAAGTTCTTTCATCACCAAATACAAATGAAGTTGGTGGGATCACTGAGAAGCACAAATGTGTAAGTTGTGCTGAGGATTTAGATAGGGTGACACCAGAAATGGATGAACTAAAAAATGTTGGCTGTGACTATTGCAGTAGGTGGTACTATTTGAAATGTTCACTAACAACAGGAACCCCTTGTGATGTTGCTGTAACAATGCAGCTCGTATTAGATGTTTGTGTAGTAATTAAACTACAATTCACATAAGTGTTCAGGTTAAATTTCCCCACTTATTCAATTGAATTTATGCCCACCTATGGCCGAGTAGATAAAACTACTGAACACTGGTAGTTGGGCGTGGATTCGCGCCTCGCCATAGGGTTGGCAACGTAGTTTTCCGGGTTTAGTTCATGTTATAGTCTGTCTATGGAAAGAACAGATTTGAAAGCAACGTAAATTTGTTTTAACATAAGCGACATTACGCGTAATGTCGCTTATGTTAAACCAATCAGCACGGTCCGTAATGATGCTAGCACTTTTTGCTTGAGCTATTGTGAAGGCAAATATATGTAAATTCTGTAGGCACTTCGCATAACTTGCTACAAAATTAAATAATTTCTGGATTAAAATCGTCTGTTTCTTTACAATGTTATTCGTAAACGCTTAAATAAGCATTATTTTAATAAAATAGGTCATAATTTCAACTCCAAACACAAAAGAAAATAAGAGGTTAAACTGATCTTCTGGCCATGCTAGACGTAGCGAACGCCATTGTCGACCTTCTAGAATTGCCAAATGGCGGTGCTCGACCGTCCGCCGTTCACGTTTTGGGCTGAATACGACGGCCGCAACCTCTATTATCACACTCTAATGCTTCGCGCGAAGAAGTTATTTTTCCAAAATTAACCTAATTAAAACGAGCATTGGTAACAAACTCTCAACGAAACTATCAGTGGTTTCTTTTATTAGCTTCCAAAAGTACCAATAAAGAATGCTTGTTTTTCGGCAAATGTCTGTCACATTCATAGTATGTAGCATTTTTTATGTTAAACGCTTTCTGTGTAGTTTTGTTTGCTTAAATATTACTTACAATACATCAAAATAAATAGTGTAATTACAAAATTATTTATTCAATTGAATATTATTTACAGAAAAACAAGAAATAAATCGAGGGAACAAGGGTAATTAGTTGGTCTAGATCAGGGGTGGCGAACCTATGGCACGATCGCCCAAACTGGCAAGGAGAAATCATCTGGCACGTAACGTATCATACGATTTCGATTTATCATCTGCCTTTTTCAATCCTCCTTTTGGCTTATCACCTGGTCATTCTTTTTTTTTAATCAGCTTTTTTACATTTACTCTAATTAAAGCATATTCGTTTAATTTCTTTAAATCTCGTTATTCAATCTCAAACTTTCAAGCTAAATATGCTTACTTTATGGCACGCAGGCTGAAAAAGATTCGCCACCCCTGGTCTGGATTGTACCGATTCATAGATTTTGACAAAGAGAAAGAAGTAATGAAACAGCACAAGGCCCTCCACCTTTAACCTTTTCGGATTCTCTTTCTCCTCTGGCTGTTTCAACTTTTGTCGGTTTTATGATAACTTTCCCTGGAGTTTTCGGGGCATTTCTAAACTTGTTAACAATTTTTTCCGGACTCAATCATCACTATCACTGAATCCACTTGATTTCAGTTTATGATATATATCCGTTAGCTCTGATCATTAGCTACAAAATGCGAGACTGACATCATTTATTTAGTTAAAAACAGGGCTGTGGAGTCGGAGTCCTCAAAAATCCGCCGACTCCTACTCCTTTTTACTTTCCAAACTTATGTACAGTCGACCCCCTATAACACTGTTGATGATTCCGTTTTATATGAATTCCATGTTGTACCAGTCACTTAATTTTACAAATATGTGAACTGTTCACAGCCCGGCACACGTATTTGTAAAATCTAAGTGACTCGTACAACGTGGAATTCATATAAAACGGAATTATCAACAGTGTTATAAGGAGGTCTCATAGTTTGTACTCGTATATAAAAATTGTATTTAAAACGGAAAAATATTAGAATCGTGTTAAATTTGACCCTTCGAGTTTATTGCAAATCTACATGTTTGGAGACCTTCTGAACCCCAAAAAAATGTCCGAGGGGAAATTCGTGCGCGCGTGTTGGCGTATAATTTTTTTATTTTCATTATTCTCTGTTCTGAGATCTTAACCCATTCTGAGATATTGTTTAAGTTTAGAAACGAAA